AATGCACTTAGAGCAGGAATGCAGAAGGCAGTTGGCTCCATTCTGACAAGTTATGGTTTTGTTATTTATGCATTGAAATATCTCGAATAGAGCTCGATCCTAAACGAAAATATCATCGAATCAATGAATCACTATCACTACGAAGGCAAGACCCTGTATAGGTTTTTGGATGTATGATAAATTGGCGTTCATCATACAGGACGTGGAAAGAAATTCTGAATTGAGAAAACCTAATCACGAATCTGCGATTGAGGTTTATAAGAAATAACAAGTTTACATCGTTCAAGTTTGAACCCCTTGATTGGGTGAAAGTTTTTTTTTATCGCTTGGAGCTCACGAAAGGGAATCCCTATAATGTTCAAACAACATCGTGCGTTCCGAGGGAGGATAGGGACAGGAGGTAGGTATTGGAATTTTTTTGAACTTCTGGAGATTATATGTTGTTGGGAATGCATCCACAGGCAATGAATTCCAGAGCCTAGCCGTTCTATGGATGAAGGAGTCTTGATAAAGTGCTGTTCGACATCTTTCGAGGTTGACAACGAAAGGATGTGCTGACTGGTCGTCTGACTGGTATTGCTAGTGAAGGGATGATAGCAGAGATTTCCGAAGAACATTTCCCGTGGAAGTATAGATAGAAAAGTGAAAGGTCGCCGACCTTTCTACGGTGTTCCAATGATGTCAAAGAGTGAGTGAGTGTGGCGTCACCCACCAGGCGAATGGCTTTTCTCTGGATGGAATCTAAGAGCATCAGCGTATGTTTTGGTGCTGAACCCCATATGTGGGAACAGTATTCTAGAACAGGACGTATCTGAAATTTGTAGATCATGAGAAGCTGTTGAGTTGTAAAGTAGCTTTTCGCACGGAACAAGAATCCGAGTTTATGTTAAGCAGCTTTTGCGATGGATCTGACATGATTATCCCATGAGAGAGTGTTGCTGATGGAAATACCGAGCATAGATATGGTGGGCTTGGTGGGGATGGTGGAGCCAGACAGTACAATATCGGGCATACTGAGTTCCGCCTTTCTACAGAAAATACAGGCTTGAGTTTTGGTGGCGTTGAATTCAACTAGGTTGTTGGTTCCCCAGGCTGTGATTTCAGCAAGGTCTTCATTGACAGCATTGACCTGCCTGCGCCGTGAGTTCTTAGTTTCCTGGAAAGAAATGGGAATTCTGGAAGAGAACGCAGTATGGAGGGTACTATCATCTGCAAAGCTGTGGATGGGGCAAGTTGTTACTCCCAACAGATCATTCATATGAAGAAGGAATAATGTTGGTGCCATAATTGATCCTTGTGGAACGACGGAATTGATGCCAATGGTATCAGACGACACACCGCCCACCACCACGTGAAGCGATCTGCCTGAAAGAAAACTCGATAAGAGATGGCATAGCTGAGGTGGTAAGCCGTATGATGGTAGTTTGTGGAGGAGTCCTTCGAGCCAAACACGGTCGAATGCTTTCGATATGTCCAACGCGACAGCTAGAGATTCCCCGTGTTTTTCTAATGAAGATTGCCATAAATGGGTGACGTAGGCATGTAGATCTCCAGTAGATCTTCGGTGGCGAAAGCCGTATTGTCTATCATTGATGATTCCTGAGCTCTCCAGATATTTGATAAGCTCAATATTGATGGCTTTCTCCATCACTTTGAAGATAACTGATAACAGGGCAATGGGCCTGTAGTTGTTGGCAGGTTCTTGTTCCCTTTCTTGGGGATTGGTTGGACTCTAGCTGTCTTCCAGCATGATGGAAAAATACCCGACCTGTACGAGACGGTAAACAACTTGAAGAGAATCGGTGTTAATTCTGGTGCACATTTTTTGAGGATAATGGGTGGAATTCCATCAGGACCGTTAGCCTTATTCGTTTTGAGACCAAGCAAAATTCGTCTGATAGTGCGTTGACGGAAGACGATTTCGGGCATTCGATTCTCAACCGGTGGAATGTCTGGCGGCACTTGAGTATTGAAAAGGAATATTCTCAGGTATAATTATGAACTTAAAAAAATGATATATTCATGAAGAAATACATTCGCATTCTCTATGTATTTCTTCATAAATATATCCATTTTTTTATGTTCATAATTATATCTGAGAACATTCCTTTTCAATACCCTGTATAGGTGTTATAAAAAACTGTTGCATTTGATAAAGTTCAATTTCCTCATGACTGACTGCTGAAATCTTATGCCGGCCTTACGTAAATATTATTGCAATATGTTTACCTGTATTCGTCAAATGTCGTACCTGGTACGACAATAATAGGAGGTATACAAACAGAAATACACGGGCATATTTAATAAGATAGACGTTTTATTTCTCATCGCGAAATAGTCATGGCCGATCACATGGTTTATAATTATTATTAACATTAACAGTGCCTACCTACCATGGAAGTCATGACTGAAGGTCATTTCGATTAATATCGTAGGATTAGAAAAACGGTGATTTGATCTTCTCAAAGTCATGCACTTAATGAGTTGTTTGATCAAGTTTCTTGGCAGATTTTTTTCATGCACAACAAACTATTGTGTTTTCCATCGATAAAATGTAGGTATTCTTTTATTATTCTACAGAAAACTCTCGAGTATTTTTCGGTGTTGTATGATACCCTGTATATATTTTCAAATAAGTGTTTATGCTTTGACAGGGAAAAAATAATATTCTTCATCAATTCATTATTTCAGCATTCTTGGGATTTTCTCCTCATTTCTATAAAATATGAATATTATTTCAATATACGTGTAGTAAGGACAAATCAGATGATTTGCCCCAAAATATCACTGCGTTTAAAGAATTTTCCTATCAGAGAACCTAAAAGAAAAATTCACTTGCTTGTATGTGACAATTTGAGCTTTGGATGTTCCGGGACCGAATCTGCTCCCGTTTTCAACATAAAAATGATTTTTTTTTGTATTGGAAATTCGTATTTGTCCTGCCACTTTGCAGTTCTCAGTGAAAATTGGTAACTTTGGCAATCAAATGAGTTACAGGATGTTTTCGTTAATTAATCTTGAATTTACCATTTTCATTTTCCGATTTCAATAGTGAATATCATGTTCTATCTATATCAACTGAACAGGAAGCAATGCTATTGTCTCCGTTCAGAAGAATGCAAGCAGATTCCTTGATTTTTCTCTTCTGGTTGTTATCTTCTTTTCAAATAATTTTAATATTATTCCACTCTGCCATATGTTGTCCATCTCCAGTAAGGATATGTTCAGCTAGTTGCGATTTTTATTTTTCAACTTCACCCTGTATCTCGGAAATGGAGCAATTCCAGTCTGAGGTAAGTTAATTAAAATCAGCTTACTCTGACCTCATCAGGAATATGTGGTGAGATTTTGTACAGACCTTTCAGGGACACCCTGTATATGGATATCTGATTGAAATCAAAATGTGTGTTTTAAATCAAAATTCCGCTGAAGATTTTGGAGAAACTGATTTCCGATTTTTGCGGCAACTTTTCTCGTCAGGTCAGGTTTCGAAATATTCAGGGTGATTCAGGTTCTAAGGCCTAAACTAAAATGAAAGATAGATCTCATCATTTTAATCAACAAAGTTTATATAAACATTATTCCGATTTCGTTCAGTAGCGGATCTACAGGAGGTCAAAGTTATTTGATTATTTTTTTCTATTAATTGAAATATCTCGCTTACTTTTCAAGATATTATTTTGAAATTAGATGTGGCCAATATTTGTTAGAAGATCATCATTTCAAGCCATTTGAAGATTTTCAAAACCTACAGGGTGATACGTTTTTGGAGGTAGAGGCTTCTTTATCCCCCCCAAACTTTTCCGTAGTATGCCTCTGGCATCTTTCAGTGATCAAATTGGCACTGGGACGAAATAGCGCAGGACAAAATAGCGCGGACAAAAGAGCGCAGGGACGAAATAGCGCAGAGACGAAATAGCGCAGAGACGAAATAGCGCAGGGTCATAATAGCGCAGAGACGAATTAGCGCAGAGACGAAATAGCGCAGAGACAAAATAGCGCAGGGACATAATATCGCATAGATGAAATAGCGCATCAGGACAGAATATCGCATAGAGGAAATAGCGCATTGACAAAATAGCGCAATTCAATGTAACCCAGTATAGTTCTGGGTGGAGTTGTATAATCATTTATGCATCTTGACCAGTTTCAATCAAGGAGTTCATGTGATTGCTATCTGTCACTGTCAGATATAAGATTTGATTCATTGTGTCTGTGTTGTTCATCAATTCATAAACTATGAGTAATGGTACGAAATAGCGCAGAAACAAAATTGCGCGCGAAAATGGAGTGCAGGATCTATGATTAGGTTTGTTCGTTTGTTAGAGTAAAGACTGATTCTTCAAATACAAGGTGTTTCAAAATGAGTCTATACCCTAGCAAACAAACTAACCTAATCATAGGTCTACTTTAACAATCCAACGGCATACCTAGTATTAAGTTACTTCGTTTGTAAGGGTAGTCTTTTTTTGAAACATCTAGTATTTGAAGAAATAGTCTATGCCCTGACAAACGAATTAACGTAATCATAGATGATGCACTACGTTTTCGCGCTCAAATTTGTCTCTGCGCTATTTCGTCTCTGCGCTATTTTGTCTCTGCGCTATTTTGTCTCTGCGCTATTATGTCCCTGCGCTATTATGACCCTGCGCTATTATGTCCCTACGCTATTTTGTCCGCGCTATTTCGTCCTGCGCTATTTTGTCCTGCGCTATTTCGTCTTAGTGCCGATCAAATTGTGTGGATCGTTCAATTCAGATGCTTTTTTGCTCCTCAATTTTTTTCGAGAAACGAACCGTTTTTGAGATAAATAAGCATATACGTTTCAAAACATGTTAATATTGCATATGTTTCGCTTTCGAGAACATCTCATTCTTTTTCTCGGAAACTTATTGTCGTTTGTTTTCCAGGCCTACCACAAATCGAGAAGTTCCTCGGTGCAAATAGCGCGAATTATAGCTGTGACTGTGGTTGTGTGCTCGATAATTCTGGGCAGTTTCATGCTGGCTTCGGCCTACGTGAACGCCAATTCCTCCTGCAGACAGCTCGAGCAGGAGCTCGAGCTGCTCGGCGAAGCTGCCGACAGGTTCCAGCCTCCTCTGCAACCGGAAGCGCTCATCCAGGTGGGTTATTATTATTTGATTATCACTTGGATTTCTCGATGATCATAAAGCACGTTTAGAACAATAGTGTGATGATTAAAAATTCTTCGTTTTGAGAAGATCGACTTTGTCTCTGGTGAACCTCACTGCAAAAAGTATATTTTTCTCCAAATTTCATTGAAAGTGGCTTTTTAATGACACTGAACATGCAGAAAAGGTGTACTTTTACTGCCTAGGCAGAAAAAGTTTGTTGCTATGCAGCGTTCCAAGTAATTTGAATCAAATTGGTAATCAAAATTGACAATGACTTTGGGTGAACAAAAAATGATGGATTATTTGGACTTTGCGTGGAATTGAAAAAAATTTGGAAAAAAAATTATATGTTTCACATGGCAGAAAAGAAGATGTAATGCCTTGGCTGGTTTCCTAGTCTCGGCTACGCCTAGGCTGTGAAACGCCAGCCGCGGCATTGAATCTTGTACTTTTCTGCCTATAGTATTATGTCATAAGTTTACATGAGACATTTTTAGTTATAATATTTTCGAATATTCTTTTCCAATTTTTCAAGAAAAAGTTTCGACATGTTACAGTTTTGATTCATCATATTCGACAATTTTCAGAGATGTCATGTCTGAAAAGCAGCAATTTCCTGAGATGTTACATCTCAAAAAACTGCCGTTTAACATGTTCTATAGGTATTTTTTTTCATTCGTAGACCCCATCATATTCATGACTGGATTTATTGAAGATGTGCTCTGAGTTCCAATAATTTCAGGAAAATCCAAATCGTGCCCTTCGGTTGCTAAACATTCCTCTTTTGGCAGTTTTTCTATTTTTTTTAGTTTCTAAATAGAAACGAACGGGTATTTGCAAAAGACAAATTTTGAGTTGAATAGCAATAAATATCATTGCATAAAGTTGAAATGCCAACAATGAACAATGAACAATCTATTCTTGGGAACTCTCTTAAACACACATTTTCCGAAATGTTCAATCTGAAGGAATTATAATATATCTTTCAAAATTGCAATGTGAACATAAGGTGGAGCTTGATATTTCACGCAAAGAGATATATTTAAATCACATGCATTCGAAAGTTTCATTCTAGTTTTGTATTTCTTCTTTTCATTTTTAAAAGCTATCTTCTTGTTGCTATTATTTCAATCTTTCTGCAAATGATCGTATTACCTACTCCATTTCATCATGCAATGATGTGACATTTTGTTGCATTCAATTCGATCATGATTGCATTTAATGATGAAAATGTAATGACGTGACAACTCAAACAATTTCAAATTGTGTCAAAAAGGTGACTTAATGACTTGTAACATTATTCATCACAAAAATTTCCTAAGAAGTCATAATACGAGGCGTATCCTGCGAAGTTTAGGTGACAACGCAAAAAGTCACTTTTTTCTGTGACGGGAAAAAAGTTTGACATTTCATCTCTGTTGGCAGGTTGTAAAATGTCACTTTTCATAAATTACTTTTTTCCCGTGGGGAAAAAAGTGAGTACTTTTTTCCCGGATATAAATCACATATGTATACACTGATGATGGCTTTTGTTGTGCTATAGTCCCGAAAAATGAGTCAATAATACCGTCTCCGAGAAAGAACTGCAAGTTCTTTTATCTTCCATTCGACTTCGCGGTTACGTATGTTGCTAAACAACCACTAAATTCGCAATTTTTCGAAATCAAATCACAGAATTAGACTGACAGAAGTGACATCAGATATTTGATTACCAACCTTGAGTAGGTATACTTTATCTTGAGCCACTGAAAACCTTATGATGTCCCAATTTGATTTCACAAGTTTTCATAGTTTTCATTGAAGTAAAACAGATACTTGGATATTCTATATTCACTTCTTCAGTCCCTAGGGTCAAAGAACATATTTTAGTCCAGGCAGTGCAAAAAATCGTATGTATTCATAGAGTAATTAATTTTTAATGGTGTAATTAACTCTATTCAAACTGCTTCTTATTGTTGGCTGAATTGGGCATTGATTTGCATTTTTATTTCTATATCGTTCACGTGCAAATTAATAGTAATCATTATAATTTCGCTGTATAGATTCGAGACTCGGAATCAGGTCATTTACTTCCACCGTACAAATTAGTCGGTGTAACAAAAATAATGAAAGTGTTTAATAATTATCATTATTGATTTCTCTTTTGAGCGTTCGTTTATTTGAACTTGTTTTTCTGCTACCGAACAGTATTAATATGGTTCATTAAAAATCCCTGATTCGAAACGAACCCACAACAGTTGCAAACCATGAGTTCATAGTTTTCATTGAAGTGGTTCGAAAATTGAGTTGGTAGATACTTGTTATCTTCATCGTATATTGTCATAATCAAACAATGTCACGTTCACCTGCACATTGTCGTCGCCATTCTTCATTTGTAAATTTTCTATTTTTGAATGTATGATGAATTGATAATCATCATACAGGAAGTGGAAAGAAATTTTGAATCGAGAAAACCTAATCACGAATCTGCGATTGAGGTCTATAAAAATAACAAGTTTCCATCGTTCAAGTTTGAACCCCTTGATTGGGTGAAAGTATTGAAAAGGAATATTCTCATATACAGGGTGGCCCACGGTCGATGGTACCTTAGACGTATACAGAAAACGGTACATCGGATTATCCTCAAAATTTGGTTACTCCAATAAGCGTTTGTGATCTAACGATTCAAAATATTTTCAGCGAAGCAGCGTTGCCACTTTTACCTTAAAGTAGCATCATCTTTGTTATTTCAAATAGAACATCCTGTATTTTATTGCGTTTTTAGATTCTTCTCGAAAAACTGATTTCATCAATGTATCACACTTGGGGTCTAGCGGGAATTATTACAGAGATATAGGGTGTTCAAAATCGAGATTTTTCAACTTTAGGATTTTTTTGTGTCGAAACTATTCATCATTGGTCAAAACGGCTTATATGTCCCTATATTAACTTTTGATCAACTATCTACCGACATTTAATTGGAAAAAATACAGGAGGGTCGAAGATTCAGAATTTTGATCACCCTGTATCTGTTCCAATTAAATCTCAGTAGATAGTGAATCAAAAGTTGAGATAGGGACATGTAAGCCGTTTTGATCGATAATGAATAGTTTCGACACAAAAAATTCCTGAAATTGAAAAGTCTCGATTTTGAACACCCTATATCTCTGTAATAATTCCTGCTAGACCCCGAGTGTGATGCATTGATGAAATCAGCTCTTCGAGAAGAATTTAAGAACGCAATGAAATACAGGGTGTTCCATTTGAAATAACAAAGATGATGCTACTCTTTGGTAAAAGTGGCAACGCTGCATCTCTGAAAATATTTTGAATCCTTGGATCACAAACGCTTATTAAAGTAACCGAATTTTCAGGATAATCTAATGTACCGTTTTCCGTATACGTCTAAGGTACCATCGACCGTGGGCCACCCTGTATAATTATGAATATAAAAAAATGGATATACAGGGTGTCCGGAGACAAAACCGACAAAACTTATAGGGCTATAGGGACTGTCAATATGATTGCCAAATGCCATGAACAAATGTCCAAAACCGCTTCGTTACTGACATACAAAGTGATTTGTGGATTTTGACAAAAAATTCAATCCGCCATATCAAATACAGAGGATTAGAATCACACAGAGTGTATATAAAGAAATACATTGAGAATTCGCATTCTCTATGTGATGAAAATATCAATTCTTTCTCGGTATATTCAATAGAAAACAACTACTTTCCTGGCTGTATGCCACGACGAACATTGAATTACATCTATTGAACACACACGATAAGAATTTGGAAACAAAATCTTCTGAAGTAGAGAATTTGCATTCTTCATCATTGAATTATATCTGTTGAACATCCTAAAAGAAAGCATGAAAAACTGAAAATCCTCTGAAATTGAGAATTGACATAATCTCTCAAATCGGATAAAATAATATGATGTATTCACATTGAATTGTATATGAAAAGTATACTTGTATAAGCTCTAATCTTGATGAGCTTGGAACTACTTCAGAAGATTTTGTTTTCAAATTCTTATCATGTGTGTTCAATAGATGTAACTCACATTTCGTTATGCCTACATTGCGTTACACCTACATTTCGATAGGCCCACATTTCGTTAGCCCCACATTTCCATATCCCACAGTGTCCGAACATACCCGAAGGATGCATTGTATAAATATATCAAGAATCACATAAAATCGATGTCTTTATAATGTATATTCAATGTTACTGGATACATCTAAACAATATTGTATTTTAACATTCTAATTATTTTCTAGGAGTTTTTATAGGTTATGTCTATTTTGTCTGGAATCATCAAGACAATCATCTAAATGATCTTCACAAAAGACAGAGAAGATGATCTATCCCTGAATAAGAATTGATTTTACCGTACTCCTGAAAGACTATAAGTATGATCCAGTTACATAGTGATAATTTGAGACAGATTAACTACTATCTATCTATGTAGCATTTTAGTATTTATGCTTCATGAATCCATAGTCATACCAAGCTTAGCTTTATGATTTCTGCATAGTCCAGTGAACTCTTACTGACTTTCTGAAAAGTAATAGGTAAATATATATCGAGTTTTTGGAAGTTTTCTGACTTATTTTGAAATTCTTTTCTATGTTCTTCTTCTAGCTATGACATATAACTCACCCATTATTTTTGTAATTCGTGGAATATGAACACAATGCGTATTCACGAATCCCTCCTACTTTTTCACATATTATGGAATGCAGATACAGATTGGTTGCATTTCTATATTTCAGCAGAACAAACCTGGAATCTAAATAGGTATCATGAGCAGTTCATATTTTCATTCGAGTCTATTTAAGTCCTAGACTTCTTCAGTTCTTGACTTACTTTAACAACTACGAATAATATCTGAAAATCAATATCATCACTGATCACACTGTTCGACCTGTTCACCATAATAATAGACAACAAACAAAATGGCTGGAATGGAATTGAATTGACTTTTGACAATTGACAAGGTTACTTTGCCGTAGAAGGAAAAATATTATCCCCTTATATATCCCCTATACATGTTAGCTACGTTATAAGGTGGTGAAACGAAAACGTTGCACAAATAACATAACAACTCTGTCTGAGATATATCTGATGAACCTAAAATCAACATATCACAATATTATCTAATGGTATTGATATCAATATTGATGCAACGTCTCATAAACGTTTTACTTCATAATATTATGTTGGATACTCCAGAAGGCCATATTGGCAATGTTATTTCAACAATATCACAAAACTTACAACTGAAAAATATTTTTGTTATGTATCATGTTTAGTGGGTTACTTCACATGTTTATTTGAGTTAATCGTTTCGGTTGCAGAAAAAATAGCATGTTTCATTCGGATCAAAAGTGACTTTGTTTGACAAGCGAATTTTGCATTTGCGAGGCGGAGCGTTTAGCGAAGCCGAGCGAAAGCAAAATTTGCGAGTCGATCCTAATAAAACAATCTACTATTTCTAGGAAGGAGGTTCATTTAGGCCGAGCAATAAGGGCAGAATGTTCAGGAAAAGTATAGTCTGTTTTCTTATGCAGAAAGGATATTTCCCTTCCTCATATTACGTATTCGGAATTCAGGAAGCCATAGAGGGAAATGCTATAGCTAGACGCGTGTACTAGACAATGTGGGCCTGACGCAAATTATGTTACTCCCACATCTGGCAAACGTGCATCCTTCGGGTATGTTCCGAGACAGTGGGAATAAAGAAATGTGGAGCTAACGAAATGTGGGCATATCGAAATGTAGGTGTAACGCAATGTGCCGATAGGCACACAATGACAATTTAATTGAATTCTGGTACATAGGATAATATTTGGCAACAGTGGCTCCTTCGGGTATGTTCGGAGACTATGGATGTATCGAAATGTGAGGCTAACGAAATGTGGGAACAACGCGATGTGGGAGTAACGAAATGTGGGCATAAAGCAGCGCACCCAAAAATACGTATACAGGGTGTTCCTTAATGATATGCTAATATTCAACGGGCCGATTCTTCGACCCATTTCAATAATAAAACTTCATATGAACGTATTCCATAAACGTCCTAACTTTTGAGATACAGGGTGTCAATGTTGACAATATGCATAGATTATTTCTTTGTCCACCCTGTATAGCTTTTCGTGATGGCAACATTCAGTGTGCTACGTGACTGAATCGGTATACAAATTTCAAAATTATACATACGGTGGTTATCCAGTAATGGATGTCCTGAATGGAGTACTCAAACATCAACATTTGAAGTCTAGCCCCGTTTTTCCGTTTTTTCTCGAAAACGAAGCGTTCTATCGAGTATCAACAAGAGGATCTTTTTTGTACATAATTGAATAGCCTTTTATGACATTGTATAAAATTTTAAACTTTTTTGTCGTTGCTCACTTTCAAGCAAAATATAAACAATAATATTCCCGTAACGGTGCCACTGGTAGACAAAATGAGAATTTTTGTACATTAGAAATTGTACCTTGATGCATAAAAGACGTGTACCAAATTTCATGATGACGTATACAATATTGTCTCAGTTATTATCAAAAAACTTCATCACCCTGTATCTCAAAAGTTACGACTTTCAGGACATTTGTTCATATGAAGTTTTCTTCTTAAAATGAGTCAAAAAATCACCCCCTCGAATATAAGCATGCCTTTGCAGAGGAACACCCTGTATAAGAAAAAGAAATTTCGAAAAAAAAAACCATCGCATGATAAGTGCAAAATTACCGAACTTTTTTCGATTTTCAGGAGGAACCCCTGCCCTCTAAACGCCACTCAGACCACTACCCCACCGAAGAACCCCCAAAGAACACCAAAGAACTAGAAACGAACAGCATCGACAACAGCGATGCCGACTCCGACGACACCTCCGAGAACTCCTCCGGGGAATCCGGGGAGCCGGAGAAACCGCACCTCCGCATGCCCGTCCAAATGGACATGGACGATTTGGTGGCGTCGTTGCTCGAGAAGAACCAGAAGTCGAAGATGAACTGCATCGTGGAGAAGAAGAAGGCGGAGGAGTTCGTTGATCATCAGCCGAAGACGATAAGGCTGCCGTTCGGGGTTAATATTACCACGAATCCGAGGTTCGAGAAGATCAGCGGTGAGAGGATGGTGATCGTGTGCGAGAGCGGGTCGATGCAAAGGTGAGTACCTAACCTACCTTTGAAATGGTTCAAGTCCTACTTGTCAGAACGAACTCAAAAAGTAACACTCAATGGCAATATTTCACATCCCCAGAGCGTAATCAGTGGGGTTCCACAAGGATCAGTCCTTGGGCCAATTTTATTCTTGCTATACAGGGTGTTTGGTGCATCGTGTGCCAAATTGAAATGGTCGAATGAAGGGGTCATCTGCTATGCTTTAAGACACGTTTCAAGCCCTGTGGATTATTTTTAATCGTCTTTTTATCTGTTCATCAAAAAAAGACCCAAATTCCACATTCAAATTCAAATTTTGAAAAAAGTATAAGGCGTAGACTCTGGATTTTGATTCTATTCAGATGTGTATTGTGTTAGAGTACTTTTGAATACAAAACTAGTGACATAAGTCATCTAGTTTTTCTTTTATTCACTCGCAAAATTTCGAAATATGTGAAACTCAAATTAAAGCTGTGACTTTACATGACTACAAAAAAATAACCAACAGCGACCAGGATCTTCCAACTCCCTCGAAAGTTCTCTAGTCTATCCTCTTGCTAATGATGTGTCACATGCTATAAATATCTTTCAACAGCTTTGTAAATTCGCTAGAATTGTGAATCGAGTCACCTAAGGCAAATATTCAGAATTATGATTTGAAAAATTATTTTTTTCTGCAACCGACACAAAAGTCGTCCATTTTGATACCAAAATCAGCTCTTAAATTGGCGTTTCTATTACTGACACAAAAATAGGTATGTTGCTAGGCAACATATTTAGTTCCTAGGAGCTAAAGTTGAATTTTAGTTCCTAGGAGCTAAAGTTGAACTTTAGCTCCTAGGAACTAAAAAGGATCTACTGTACGCCATCAAGAATAAACAACATTGTGACGGTTGGTTATTTGGGTTGAGACGCATACCTGATTTGTTTCCGATTTCAGCAGATTTGGCATTTCATACCCATGCTGGAGATATAAATACACCTTATTATAGTTTAGTATTGGAATTATAAACATCTAAGTTGAGTATTTTTGTTTTGATCAGAGAAGCCTTCAAGATTCAAATACTTGCTTGATCTGTATTTCATTCGTTATTCTCGGGATGGATAACTTGTTTTTGAATAATCACAGCAAGCAATAGTTTTTTTGTCTCAAACAACGATATTGTTTAGCTTCATTTGGTTATCAAGTCAAACACAGTGTAGTATGGAGAGGAATAAATAATCACTATTATCATTGTTGATATGCTCACTAACCTAACATTTTCTACGTCTTGTTCCTATAGCTGGCACTGGCGCGGTATTTGCCATTAGAGCACCTGGTCCATACACAAATATATCACTCTGTGGTTGTATTTATATTGAAACTACAATTCGAACATCCTAGAAAACCTGTTAATGCAGGTAGAATATTCTCACCACATGGATTATTTGTCAATATTTGTTGCATTGCATACATATGGCACGGCATTGGTGGTTACTTCACATGTTTATTTGGATTAATTGTTTCGGTTGCAGAAAAAATAGCATGTTTCATTCTGATCAAAAGTGACTTTGTTAGACTCGCAAATTTTGCTTTCGCTCGGCTTCGCTAAACGCTCCGCCTCGCAAATGCAAAATTCGCTTGTCAAACCAAGTGTCACTTTTGATCCTATAATAAAACAATCTACTATTGTTTGAATGATACCTGAACCTTTTGAATTTGTTATCTTACTCTTATGAGGTGAAATCAGTCTCGTATCTCTATTGTTTCGTAGATTATACTTGAACAGAGAGAAATCTGACAAGGAATAAAAAGATAAAAGTCACGATCAAAGTTCAAAGTTATTTATTGAAAAAGCTACTATTTTTGCAAGTTCCCACTTGCTACGAGTGTGGAGCTTACACATTAGGAACGATAATGATAATAGAAAAACTCTCGGCAGTCATGTAGACCTGAACTGCCCCTCCTTCGATTCGCCTTCAATATTAAATCTCTTTTCCAGAGCCGAACCGCCGCGTCAATCCCGACCGGAACAGGAAGACTCTGAGGAAGACATCGATGGCCACGACGAGCAACAGGACACCATCATGATCCAGCCGGTGATGATCCCGATTCCGCAATCGCCGTTCCGCACCCACATGCCCCAACAGCAGATGCCCATGGTGCAGATGGTGCATCAACAGATGGCGCCCGATGGCCGCCCTATGAATCTGCCCGCCCACCTGTTGGCCATCGAGGGTATGCGGCCGCCCGCGTCACCGGTGATGCCACCACAGGTAGGGAACTATCCGATGTGCTTGGTGACTGTTTGCTCTTGTAGACAGAGACAAACTTCATTTCTCCGATTAAATCGTGATTTTTTACTATACAGGGCGTTTCTTAATCAAATCAATCAATCAATCAAAAATATATTTTAATGTCCAAGAAACACATTCTTGTTGACAAAGCATGATAAATAAATACAATAAATGAAGTGAAATGAAAAATTTCACAGTCAAGGTTGAGGTTGAACTCGTTGGAATACAGATACATAGACAATTTGAATGATCAATAATTGAAATAAATAAATAAGTAAAGTGTATAGACTGGTGAATAACATAAAGGTACATAATTTATTGACTGGATCCACATGCATTCATATTGAAATATATCTCTGTACAAGAACCGGTGAATACAAAAGTTTGTAGATATGGACGTACAGCATAAATTTACATACTTATAACAGAACATAACATATACAGTGTGTCCCACTTACCATGCTCACCATGGGTATCTTTTTAACGGTGAGAGATACGAGGTCAGTTAAATGACACCAAATGTGGAGTTTGTCAAGGCCAACTATAATGTGAAAAAATATTTTGATAAAATCTATTCGTTTTTGTTTTATACGCAAAAAACAGATTTTGATCATTCTCATGTCTCCTCCCTAACTTCTTTAATTATGAAAATATTCGAATAGGAATTTCACATTCTCATGGCAGTTTTTCAAAATGATTTCGAAAGAAATATGAAATTTATACCAACTCTTCTAGAATTTGAGATATCAGCACCAACTTTAGTTTTTGAAATGTAGGTCATAGCTCACTATGACTTAGTTACAAATAACTTTTTTTTCTCTTACAGATGATATGTCGCAGTTATAGTTCTGTGTTGATAACAACGGAGTTATCGTCATTTATACAAAAACAAGAAATTATTTGAATGCTGCCATCTTGAATTTATAAATTTTAACAAAAAATTCATGATCTCCGACCTCAACAACCCCCACTTACCAATTTTGAATGGAATCGGACCAAATCTTGTCCGCCATCTTGGAGCAGTCATTTTTTTTTTACTTTCAAGAAAAATTCCATTATGTATTGTCACCGAAATTATGAACACCTGCCAAAATTCAAGTCATTCGGAGTTATGGATTTTTTGTTGAAATTAAAAAAATGGCAGCTACAAGATGGCGGACAAGATTTGGTCCGATTCCATTCAAAATTGGTAAGTGGGGGTTTTTGAGGTCGGAGATCATGAGTTTTTTGTTAGAATTTATAAATTCAAGATGGCGGCTTCCAAATAATTTCTTTTGTTTGTATAAATGACGATAACTCCGTTGTTATCAACAAAAAACTATTGAGAGAAAAAAAAGTTATTTGTAACTAAGTCATAGTGAGCTATGAGCTACATTTGAAAAACTAAAGTTGGTAAATACTGTCTGTAGGTTAATCGAGGAGGTGGTATATTCATTTTACTTGGTTCTTTGGGATTTTTCTCTCCACGTTTCTATAAAATAAAAGTATTCGTATTATTTCAATATATTTGTAGAGGGACAAATCAGATGATTTGCCCCAAAATGTCACTGCGTTTAACAAATTTTTCTATCAGGGAGTCTAAAAGAAAAAAAAAAGAAAAATCACTGACAAGCTACTGGATTTTTCTTTTAGACTCCCTGATAGAAAAATTTGTTAAACGCAGTGACATTTTGGGGCAAATCATCTGATTTGTCCCTCTACAAATATATTGAAATAATACGAATACTTTCATTTTATAGAAACGAGGAGAGAAAAATCCCAAAGAACCAAGTAAAACTAAAGTTGGTGCTGATATCTCAAATTCTAGAAGAGTTGGTATAAATTCCATATTCTTTTCGAAATCACTTTGAAAAACTGCCATGAGAATGTGAAATTCCTATTCGAATATTTTCATAATTAAAGAAGTTACGGAGGAGACATGAAAATGATCAAAATCTGTTTTTTGCGTATAAAACAAAAACGAATAGATTTTTTCAAAATATTTCTTCACATTATAGTTGGCCTTGACAAACTTCACATTTGGTGTCATTTAACCGACCTCGTATCTCTCACCGTTAAAAAGATACCCATGGTGAGCATGGTGAGTGGGACACACTGTATAACATAATTGTAAAAATATCAGCTGGAGTTAATTATCCCTCTAGCTTATCGTCAAAAAAATCTTGTATAGAATAATAGGTCTTTTCAACAAGCAACCTATTCACAGCCTTTCTGAATGCCTTTTGTTCCTCAATTTGTTTTATATGTATCGGCAAGTGATTGAACATTTTGAAACCATTGAAAATTATCGAATCCTTAACTAGCGAACTATTTGGAATTGGAAGATCCAAGTTGCAGATGGGTCGACGGGTAATATAAGAAGATACATGCCTGGCGAAAGAGGATTTATGCTTCATTATCAAACATACTGATTCCAGGATGAACATGGAAATTACTGTAAAAACTTCACAAACGATAAGATTTCCACAAAATTTATTAAACACACGACATGTTTCGCTAACACAGTAGCTTCGTCAGGTGATATACTGGTACAATGAACTAAACTAACGTTGGCTTGCTTAACTTTTATATATCTTACCTACCCAACCTGAAGGATTAGTTACCTGTGGACCGGTACGATAAACCTCCATTTTCGGAAATTAGGCACAATATCTACATTAAATTACGGTATACCGTGCCTTGAATAGTGGTTTGCAGGTATCCCTCACTTTTGCCTAGCAAATATACCTACAGCTCTCTTGAACAAACTCCCCAGACAGCAATGCCATATATCTTATATGGCAGTCTACTAATGCAAAGTAGGCTTTTCTTGATAGGGAATATCCCAACTCGTCAGAAATGATTCTCAGAGCATAACAACCTGAAGCTACTTTTTTACTCAACTTCACTACATGGTCTCTGAGGTAGAAAATTCAGGAGCATGTTGCTGACGTCAAAATTAGAAGAAAAGTTCGTATAAATATATGTCCGAAAGTTATTCGTTTCTGAGATACAGATTGTCAAAGTTGAATTCCTATTTTTCTTTTTTGTTAATAAATTTCAAAATAATTGTGATATTTGAATGAAGTATAGGGGTATTTTTCAATGACAATATCAAATTTTATGTTATTGTCCCTTTCGTGGGGGTGGCGCCACCTACATGTCTCTGGAATCTTTTGAAAAGTCACAACTTTCTTGTACATACCTGTATCACGTTTTATAGTAGAAAAATAAATTTCTAATCCACTTATGTGTAAAAAATATATTCCTGGTAGAGGTCGCTGCGAGCAACTGTTTTCGAGTTATTGGGATTTGATATAATCAATGCAAGTTATTTGGAATGACAAGAAGTTGGAATTCAAAATTGATTTATCAAGTAAGGAAAATTATTCTTCTTAAATTTCATTTTAAATTAGGAATCCAATGTTATCACAATTTAATACTAATAATAATTACAAACTTCACTGTTACAAGAACGGATTGAAATAACATGACAAGTACACACTTAATTGTTATTTTTTTATAATTGGAAGAGTTCAAAAAAGTAGGTACAGAAGTAAGAATCATATTTTCTCTACATTCCAATGTTGAATGTGAGAATATTAAATGAAAGAAGAAAAATGCACTGGTGTATCTTTCCCTATATTTTCTACTTTGAGGCAACTCACGAGCCCTATGGAAATAATTCAAATGCATCGATTATTTGAAATCCCAATAACTCGGAAACAGTTGCTCGCGGCGACCTCTACCAGGAATTAATTTTTTACACAAAAATAAGAATTCAATTTTGACATTCTTTATCCCAGAAACGAATAACTTTCGGACCCATATGTATACGAACTTTTTTCTTATTTTAACGTCAGCAACATGCTCCTGAATTTTTTACACGTACTTAAGAAACGCCCTGTATACAGAAAAGTACATAATAAACAGCCAGTGCCGTAACTTCTGAATCATTCGAGATTCAAATTTGAATGTTGGTGGGTAGCAAGTATTTCGTTAAATATGGAAATAATGAATTTTAAACACGTTTATTCATTATTTTTCGATTTGCCCGAAAATATTTGTTGTCTAGATTTACAGTAGGTTAACAGGTTTAATCCCAATTTTATTTTTTTTAGGTTCAGCGTATTTCTAGGATCCAAATCCAAGCTCGCCCTCAGTTGATGGAAGAACCTCAGATGCAAGTCCATCAGCTGCCTCCTCAGATGCCTCCTCAGATGCCACCTCAGATGCCACCACAGATGCAACAGTCAGTAAGTATTTATTCAATTCAGAATTTCGTTAAATTAGTTGTAATGATTGTGATAAAACATATATAGGGCAAACCAGGCGTCCCATAAAACAAGGTTCAAAGAACACTTGACACATATGAAATATGGTAGGTTAGATAAATCGTGTGTAGCCGAACACATGTTCAATCACAATCATAAGAAATATATTAATAACCCCAAATAAACTGAGGAAGTTAATACTGTTAGAAAATTACATGCATATGAAAGCTTAAAGATATCTAAGAATAGTTGGCGAAACACGGTCGAGGTGTGAAAAGTCGGTTTGGTTAGTGGTGAAACAGTGGTGTACTATATTATCGTGCCAAAGGTTCTAGTCTTCGATATATCAGAACTATAATAGGCGACATAATTTTTTTTAACCCCCTTGAAATACCACCCTCATCAACATACTATAATTGCTAAATATAATATGGATATTATTTCAGATATCCAATTACGAATCGATGAAAATAATCAATGCGGTTTATTGTCATTAGATCTATGCAAAGCTTTTGATACTGTCAACCATAACATTTTATTGAATAAATTATTTGCAATTGGTGTCAGAGGAAGAATTCATGATTGGTTCCAAAATTATCTATCAAATAGAAAACAATATGTTGATGTGAGTGGTACTTGTAGCTCCTTAATGAACATCTCATGCGGTGTACCGCAAGGGTCAGTTTTGGGACCAGTTTTATTTTTAATCTACATAAATGCAATATTAAACTAGGAATTGAGAGAAAAACTTAAATTATTTGCAGATGACACGTACGACATTGATTTATTTCTCCAAAGATTCAAATAATATTATCATGGACATGAAAAGTGATTTAGAGAAAATATTCCCTTGGTTACAAGTTCATAAACTATCTCTCACTACAACACTATCCTTCAACAATAAACTCATCAGATATACAGATGTTACAGAATTTTCAGGTATTTATATTGATGAACGACTATTGTGGAATAAACATATAGTTCATTTGAGAAACAAACTTGATCCCATTACAGGCATTTTATTCAAAATACGAAATTTCATTTCTACGGTCTGTGGCTGTCTAGCGTGACCTGGCTAAATCGAAATCAATAGGCATTCAGGAAAGAATCACTTGTATCAATATTCGTTTATACGAGTCGATGCATAAATTTTGGGAGGATGTAATTCAATGTCCTGCGTGGCATTAGTCAGGGAAGTAGTTGTTTTTCTCACGAAATCTACCATTGTTGTTCATTTTATGAACATTGTGTGGAAATGACTTTGAGCTTTTTGTATGTATTTAACATTTCATTCCACTTTGAGCATTGTGGCTATTTCGTAGTTGATTATGTATATTGTTCATGTATCCCTATTATAAACAACTATGTTTCTTGGGGTAATCAATCAATCTATCAATTGTGTTAGGCCGAATTCCCGCCGAATCCGATCTTGCGTCACATCGTGCAGCAGATCATCGCGCAAAAGATCATAGAGAGCCAGAGGGCCCGCGAGATGCAGATGAGGGAGGAGCAACAGCAACAACAGCAGCAGCCGCAGCAGCAGCAGCAACAACAGCCGCAGGTCGAGCTCGAAGAGGAGCGTCCGCACAGGTTCCAGATGCCCGACGGTCAGGTGGCACAGAACATGATGGGCCAGAGGATTCCCATTCCCGAAGAGGTGTTGACGCAATTGAACAGGTGAGTGGCAGGTCAGGACTGGCTACTATTTTGCTACCCCGGGCATTTATTATTACACTTAGATTCTGATTGTGTCATACTGTATGCGGATGATACTACTATTGCGGTCAGCACTGATACTCCGGAAGAACTCCAAAGTAAACTCAACATGGTCTCAGGGAACTTTACCAACTGGTGCTAAAAAAATCGTCTTATCGTTAACGCGAATAAGACTGTTTGTATGCAGTTCTCCTCAAGACTCAAACTCAATTATCCATTCAGAGTAAGGGTTAATGATACCCCTATTGAACTATCGAAATCCACAAAATTTTTAGGAACGTTTGTCGACTCTGATATGAGTTGGACAACACATATAGATCATGTGAGCAAAAGGATCAATAGTGGGTATTATGCTATTCTCCAACTGAAATATGTTTTCACTACATACCAGTTGCTTAATGTGTACTATGCATTAGTTTATTCGCATATGAGCAACAATGTAATATTATGGGGTAATGCAACTAACTCTATTAGAATTCTGATATCTCAAAAAAGAATTGGACTAATTTTCAATCTTGATTACAGGGAAAGCTGTCGACCTATATTTCGAAAGCATAACTTGCTCACTTTTTACTCGATCTATATTTATCACTGTGTAATGTATACGAGAAGAAACCTACACAAGTTTCAAAAAAATTCATATAATAATGATCATTTTACGCGCAATAGAAATCTCTTGCGTATACCTAGACACCGCACAAGCCTATATGAAAAGAGCCCTTTCTATATGGATATAAAGTTTTTCAATCATCTGCCCATGTATATAACTATGAATGAAAATCTCAACAAGTTCAAGAATGATCTCAAAAATTTTCTCATTCAGGGTTGTTTTTACAATACCTCTGAGTTTTTCAATGCAAATAACTGTGTCGCTACCTGTTCTGTGTGAAATGTATTATACTCTTTAATCTATTTTTTTTTGTTATATGTATCAACGTTGATTTATTTGACCTGTCCAATATTACTTTGTAATCTGAAGGATTAATAAATTATTATTATTATTATTTTCTCTGACCGGCCTCCAATGGGAAATTTCCTTCAGATGAATTTTCATAAAATAAGTTCGGAACTCTTCAGTTTCGTGTCCACGCTGTACAGGGTGGGCGAAATTGGACACTTTCCAAGGGAAAGTCCCATTTCTAAACTAGATGGACGAAAACTGATGTCGGTGTCTGATGGTCAATTTTTATGACAAACTTGATAGTGAAAACCGCACATCGATATCTATCATCGTTTCTGAGTTACAGCATGTTTTCCGAAAATGTGCATTTACTTGCTGTAACTTTTTTCCTGTCGAAAATTTGTTGTTTCTATGAAATCAGTATCGAAGCACTTTTTCACGTAGAATTCAATGGTATAAGTAATTTATTTTTTCAAAGTATATATCAATAGTTAGTAACGAAAAAATATTGTTTTCAAATGGGACATCCTGTATATTTTTGCATATTTCAATAGAGCTTGAAATTATCATGCCAAAAATATAGCACACTCGGTATTTTACTGAAATCATCTTTGAAATGCAGAGCTTTTTTGGTTTTCACAGTCTGTATAATATTTCTTTGTGCGTACGTCACGACTTCAAAAAACGAATCAAATCAATTCAAGGTCATATGTGCCAGTGAAGCAGTGCCGTGTTGCTTCAGATGTTGGGTTAAAATGAATAGTAATATTCAGAAAATTTTTACTTCCTACTCCAGGTAATTTTGACTAAGAAACATTCAATAAAACATAGGATTGGAGCTCTTTAATTCGCCAATTTATTGAAGGCAAAAACATGTACTTATCAGAACTTTGGTATGTACAAGGTGGACCAAAAGAAGTCATCCGATGTTGTTTGGCTCTCATTTTTTTTTCTAAATGAAAAGCCTCGATTTTGTTTTTTGATTATTTTTATTTCAACCTTTAGAATTTTATCGGCCAAGTCGAGAAGATGATATCGGCCAAATGGGCGCCGCCACAATTGTTTGCTATAGGGGCTCGTTTTATGCATTTATCATCACTTCGGCGAGAACTTCGGGCGAAAGATTGTCGCACTCGTGTCGAATGTTGTGCTTGACGGCTTCCAGGGTCTCCAGCTTGTTCAGGTAAACACTGAACTTCAAAAACAAACACCAAAAAGCTCTGGAACGGTTAAATCGGAAGATCTTGCGGGACAGTGCAAATCGCCAAAACGAGAGATGAGGCGATCCGGGAACGCCGCCTTCAGAATATAGGTTATGGCTCGCGCAGTGTGTGCCGTTGCTCCGTCCTGTTGGAACCACATGCCCTCCAGTCCTAACTCGATCAATTGTTCAATTGCAGCAGAAAAAACTCGGTTAATATGGCCCTATAGCGCGCACCAAAGTGATGGAGAAAGCCATCAATATTGAGCTTATCAAATATCTGGAGAGAGCTCAGGAATCATCAATGATAGACAATTACGGCTTTTGCCACCGAAGATCTACTGGAAATCTACTTGCCTACGTCACCCATTTATGGCAATCTTCAATAGAAAAACAAGGGGAATCTCTAGCTGTCGCGTTGGACATTTCGAAAGCATTCGACCGTGTTTCGCACGAAGGACTCCTCCACAAACTACCATCATACGGCTTACCACCTCAGCTATGCCATCTCTTATCGAGTTTTCTTTCAATCAGATCGCTTCACGTGGTGGTGGACGGTGTATCGTCTGATACCATTGGCATCAATTCCGGCGTTCCACAAGGATCAATTTTGGCACCAACATTATTCCTGCTTCATATCAATGATCTGTTGGGAGTAACAACTTGCCCCATCCACAGCTTTGCAGATGATAGTACCCTCCATACTGCGTTCTCTTCCAGAATTCCCATTTCTTCCCAGGAAACTAAGAACTCACGGCGCAGGCAGGTCAATGCTGTCAATGAAGATCTTGCTGAAATCACAGCCTGGGGAACGAACAACCTAGTTGAATTCAACGCCACCAAAACTCAAGCCTGCATTTTCTCTAGAAAGGCGGAACTC